AGGAACCATGCTTGCATTTTGGATCACTAATCAGGGTCATTTTTTTCTTTTCTTGACGCACAAGTTATGATGCACTCATAAATTTCGCAGCTTCATGAGTTTTGAAAGGTTCGCGACATTTCAATATTGATTTTAGCGATCAAGGACAATATCAAAGTCTCAGCACTTAGACGTATTCACTTTCCACCATTTTGAACAGTTCTTTTTTCGAACGGCTCAAAAGCTTGGATTCTGACATTTCGACCATATGTCATGTTTTCAATGGACGAGCATCAGTTGATATTGATGCTACTCAAGGCAATAATATACTATCAGCATTGAGCTGGCAGCATTTTTGAAGGAAGATATGGTCACTTTCCTTGGAGTTTGTTTCATAATAATCAAGATCTCAACATCAAAAATAAAAAGGGAAGGATGCTCGATCAACTTCATCTAAGACAGCAGCGAAAAGTCCAAATATTGATGAAAATATGTCTTCGTAATAACGCAACCCTTTGCTTGTTGTTTCAGGTTAGATTTGATGTTATAGAGCAATAATTGACAAATTGCGCAGGCAATTTCAGCACGAGAAACTTCTATAACTTCTTTCAGAGAATGCTTCGCAGATGTGGAAGGCAGATTTAGGAGCAACGCTTAAAAGTGCATATCTCTTTGACCAAGTATCCTTCCTTTGTTAATTCCGCATTAATAACACCCACTGGTCCGTATATCCAGGTGCGGTGAGAAACTGTCTTCCACCAAAGAAAACGACCAAAGCAGTATCTCAATAGAATTTATGGTATGTACTTGAACTGCCTAAAGACGAATTTGTCAATTGTTTTTGAAAATGCTAAGGTCTCTGGCTTAGCAAAGTCGTACCTTATTTTCGACTTTTTTTCTTCCAAGTGCATCAGATCCTCCACAACGATATGCAGTCAAGATGTTTGTTTACAAATTTTCAAGTTAACAATCATGACAAAAGAAGCTATTACTGGTGCCTTTGGATAACTTTTAGCTGAGCTCGATACCGTTCCTGGTTTCCCATTTTTGCCCGAACAGTTGCCACATACGATAATAATTGACGTTGGGACAACTATGCAACTCTTCAGTATTGATAGATAATGTGCAAAAGCATTGGCGTCACAGGCCGGCAAGCCAGAATGCTGCTCTCTATCCATTTCTTGCACCAAAGCTTACTTTAGTCAGATTTTTCCAAAGATGTATTTATTTAAATGTTCAGTTTAAAAAAACCAATCTTTGCAAACTCTCAAATATCCATTTAGGCCACTACCATAGCTATGATGTTGTCGGTAATCTCCACAATGTAATTAGAAGAGTAAGAACCTTCTGGAATTTAGGGAACTGCAAAATGTGTAGGCGTATCCAAACTTTCGGTCACACTGTATTGAAACTCAGCTCTCTCTATCTGAAATCTCTCACACATGACTAGTGAAGTTATGAATTCATTTTAAAGTCTTCTATTCTTAGGTGAACTTATGTTCGAGAGGAACCATAACGGTGCTCGCGCAGTATTCCATGTTGACAATTCGCTTTCCCTTTACATGTATTTTCATATGGATAAAATGATTGAACAAATCAAATTGCATGGTAAACAATAATGTCTCCGGCTTTTGTTCTCAGTCTGTACATTTCTTTTGAGGAACCTTACCTGTTCCTCAGTCCGCACAACTGTCAACGAACATATCTTCGTTGCCATCGACTTCTATTACTGCTGCCGCTCCAGCATTAGCATCGCAAATTTCACAGATGAGTTTGGGGCGACCGTCAACCAGCCGAAAAGGAAGGCCACAGGACAGTGACTCGAGCGAATGCATGGTTAGTTTCTGAGACTATCTATTTAGCTCCCC